CAGCCCTCTGTCCTTTTTCCGCAGAAGTGAAAGGCTCAAGCTGAGCCGGCCTGCCCTGTGGCGCAGGAGCCAGACCCCTTGCCTGGAATTTGGGATTGCTTGGGTAGCAGTGCCTGCAAGGGCTCCTCTTTGAACTGCAGAATCCCCGGGTGCAGGTGGAGGGAAGCTTTTTCCAGGAATAACAACCAGGAAAGCCCTAAGCACAGTGGGGGAGGGGCGGGGGAAGGAGGAGGACACAGAAGATAAACAGTGGGAAAAGAGGGCAGGAGGAGATAAGAGACCCTAAAGAGCATCCTTGTCTGAGACCAACGGCGCAGCTCTGACAACAATATTCACAGAAGAAATCTACTTAAACCCACAGGGCCTTTTTATCACGGTCTAACACTAAGAGCAGAGGCAGGAATGGAAGGGTGACTCAACTTGGAGAGGAAAGGCAAGAAGACCTCCCCCCACCTTGGATGAGCTGTCCGAAGGAAGAATCCCTCTAACCCCGCCATGAGTGCCAGGACCCGGAGTCACAGTACATGGGTGTTCCAGCTCCACCACCCACCACCTGGAAGTGGTGGGTAGCTTTTTGGTGCCTCAGTTTCCTCATCTGTAAAATGGGGTAAACACAGCAGTCACTTCAAAGGTGTGAGGCTGAGGGTTACATGGACAGGTAAGGCACCCAGCACAGTGCCTGGCACACAGCTGGCCCCCGTGATGCCCAGTGAGGGGCATTACCGTTGACATCCAAGCTGAGTCTCCCCTTCCCGGAGGTGCCTCTGACTTCTACACTAACTTCTTGGAGCATCTGCCATCTGCACCTCGCAGTTTATTACCTCATCATACACTGCCTTGAAACAATGAGGGAACGATTCACTATAGCATAATAAAGTGCTATGCTGAATTCAGACAAGTTCCTTCCAGCCCTAAAATAGGACAATTCCAAGCCCAGTGTGACACAGTACAGTCTAGACACACACACAGCTCTCACCCAGGGAGGAGGGCGCCGGCCCAGCCCTCCACACTCACCCGGCTCATTCTTCCGCAGAGGGGGCTCTCTTGTGTCATCGCTTTGGGACTTTGTCTTTTCTCCTGTAGCTGGGGCTACCCCCTCCTCTTGGGAAGTCTTCCGCACTCCATCCCGGAAGCCCAGTGGCACAGGGAGAAAACTGTCCCAGCCACAGGCAGCCTGGGCCAGCCCTGCCCTGGACCTCAGAGAGGTGTTCCTCGGTTGCCTTTCCATGCTTGTCTTGCCAGCCCAGCCCAGTGGGAAGTAAGACGGGGGCCAAGGCTGGCATGGAGTCTGGAAGAAGGGGCCGACGAGGCCACCAGCCAAGGGGCCTGCAGGCTGTACATCGAACTGGAGGGTCCACAGGGCTCAGGAGGTGCACGCACAGGGGGTCTAGCCCAGTTCTCCAAGGCGAGAAGCTCCTAGGGATGTGGGGAATGCCTGAGCAAACATGGAGGGCCTTACATGCTTTGCCAGAGAGTTCCCTAAGTGTGTAATGACAGAAATTGCCCTGAGGGTGACGTACCTTATAGAAGTTGGAGTTAGTTAAAGGGGTGTCAGGTGGGCTGAGGCTATCAGGGAAGGCTTCAAGGAGGAGGTGGATACTGGCAGGAGGACAAGGACTTGGATGTGGAGCAGGGCCCAGCTGGCAGAGGCTGCGTGAAGCCCTTCGTGCTGTGGCTACAGGCCAGGCTGAGAGGAGCTCTGGCTGCTGGGACTGTGCCTGGGGGACTCCTGCCTCCCTGCCCTCAGGGCTCGCCCTGGCAGCTGGGCCAGGCCAGAGGGGTCAGTGTCTTGAGCTGGCCAGGGAGGACAAGTACTCCGCCTCCTCCCTCCCTCTCCTCCTCCCAGAAGGGCCATGCTCGGTGCGGGGGGGTTCTGGGGAGTCTCTGGTCAGCTATGGGGGAAATGTGTAATCTGCCTCCACTGCCCCCTCTGCTTTTTATGCACACCCCACCCCATCTCACCCACCGACACGCCGCCTTCCTCTTTCCACCCAGCAGCCCGGAACTCTCCGGCTGCCCCTCGATCTGCTCTTCTCAAGAGAAAATTCTCTGGTAATTCCAACCTGCGAAAGAGTTTATGATTCTAAAGTGTTTCCCACTCCTGGGGATAACTTTTCAAAGATAGTGCCAGGAGACAGGTTGAATCCAAAGGAATAAATCTCTAAGGGAAGATTCAGGAACACTGAGATTAAAGTTGGCTTTCGTGCCAATAGCCTTTACTGTGTTTCCCTGTTTCATTCATTCTTTCATCTAGTTTGCATTTACTGAGCACTTACTACATGGCAGGTGCCCTGCTGGGTGCTGAGAATCCAGAAATGAAGCAGCACACCACTGCCTCGCTGGAAGTGGAAACATATAATTTGAACAATATGATGAGAAATGTCTTCAAAGACCATCCTCCTTGTTCAGAGCACCCACTTAAATAGAAACATTGGCTGGTTAAAAGTTATTTCCTATTCTCTAATTAAAGCAGTTCCCCTAAAGGTGCTTACTGGACAACACTCTGTAGACCTAGACTTGAAATTAAAGCTACATGTCAATGCATATTTTATAGCTCACACCTTTCCAATTCAGCCTGGACTTCCCCCAGCCTGGGTGCAATGAGATCTGACCACAGCCTTCACGAGCACTATCTGGCCTGGTATTTCCCTGTGGTCTTGTTTGGAGTTTTCCAGACTAATATTTGGACTGGCTCCTTCTCCCTGTGGCTGCTGCTTGAGTATACAACATATGAGTCATTTGCTTTTTAGCCCCTCTCTGTCCCCTGGTTATATTTGGTACTTCCTGACTTCCCTTCCAACCCTGTGAATAATAAATGATAACAGGTTGCACCACACTTCCACACACCACACAACTATAGATAGCAAAATATGGCGTGCACTGAATTATTCAATAGCTGAATAATACCACGGAGCTCATCCCATATTCCAGACTTGGAGAGTCGTTAATTGGGACGATGTGCACGGCGTCCTCGTTAGGTCCTCCCCCAAGCCCTGCAAATCTGCATTCTGAAGACAGCAGAGGCTGCTCATTTTTATTATGCCAAAGTAAAAAAAAAATCTCCAACCTTCAGTTCAGTTCTAATTACATTAACTGTTCTTGCTCACATGTGGGAACTATACACATTGCACAGAGGTGGGTACTTCGGGGGTCAACTAGAAATTGAGATTTGAAATTGTAACTGTCCCAGAAAAACTGGGGACATGTGGTCATGACATGTATTCTGTGACTAAAGGAATGCTGGGTCCACTCCCGGGAACCAGGAAATCGACTCAGCCGGCAACGAGGCTGCGTACAGGGCACCTGATTCCTAAGTCGAATTGGCAGAGTCCAGCAGAGCGTCAGCCCCTGAGGGGTCCCAGCTGGCAGGAAAGGGGAGTTTGGCCCTGGCCACCGAGGGCGGGGGAGGAAGAGGACATTCCGGGTAAGGGAGATGAGAAAGGGGACAGGAGAGAGGGACGCGGAGGAGAGAGGAAGGACACTGGGAAGGAGAAAGGAAGGTGACCCAGAAGGGGCGGCAGGAAGAAAGGGAGAGAGAGAAGAACGCAGGGCGAGTGGGAGGGGAAGACAAGCGAGAGATAAAACCGTGGAAAGAGGAAGGGAAGACAAAAGATGCTGGCAGCCTGGAAGCCAGGGATGGAGCCCACGTGACGATTTCAGCTGCCGCCGGGGACATCTGCCCACAAACAGCTTCCGAGGGGCCTGTCCACCCTGCTCACTCGACTAGCATTTTCCAGCCAAAACCTCTCGAGGAACTCTTCCAGGAGTCCTTCGCAGGGGGGCAGAAACTTGCTGACATACCTAGATACCCCCCACCTGGTGGGAGGGTCACAGAGTGGACAGACCATCTCTGGGGGCTTAACCTTTCAAGGGCAAACATGGACCACTCACACAACGCCCCTGCCCGGACGTCCCAGGGCCCAGCAGCTGGCCGGGGCTCCCCCTGCACTTACACAGAAAAAACTGTGGTCCCAAAGGCCAGCATAAGACCCTCGAGCCCAGGTCATGGCACGCGGCCATCCCCACGCCCTCAGGCCTGTCTGTGGACATTAGCTCAACTTGTTTCTGACATAAGAGCCCCATCTTTAATTTCTCAAAGTATTGAACAAAACCACATACTAGAGGTCCCTAAAAATCTCATTGCTTCTCCTCTGCAGGGTCAATTTAATGTTTGGGTGTCAAAACTACCAGCAATGAAAACGACTCTCTTCTAGGGAAATGGATCTAAGAGTTAGTCCCTACTTAGAAAAACAAAAATTAAGGAACCAAACAGCTTAATCAGCCCTTGGGAACCCTTAGCTGGCAGTTTCCAGCCACACCTGGCTCCTAGCAGATGGAGCATCGTGCATCATCTGCAAATATCCCCCACAACGCCCGCCCTGCAACGCGTGTGCCCTGCCTGAGAATATCCCACTTTATCCATTCACCAAATATTACTGAACTTCTACTCATGAATATACAGAGTGCCCTTAGTTACTGATCTTAGCTACAAACACTACAACAGGTCAAGAGGAAATAGCCACGTGATGGGCCACCTTGATGGAAGTGGTTCTGCCCCAGCCAAGGGTGGCCTCGCCTATGGGCAGAGCAAGGGACTGCCTGAGCAGTAGACTGCAGAGGGGCAGGGATCCCTGCCTGACACCCACCCGCTGCTGTCATCCACTCCCACACACGCCTACACACTCTGATACCCCAAATCCCAGCAGCAGGTACAGAGCTTTGGCCCCCGCCCTCAAATGGAGGCTTGAGATCAAGACTCCCCCCATCACCGCCAGAAGGGGCAGCGAGTGCCTAGTTTGCTATGGTTGGGTCCTACCAACCATAGAATCCACTCACCCCTCAAGTTAAAGGAGACAGGTGGACATATCGAAATGCACTGAGCCACCAGAATGAGCCTGCTTCTTCCCTGAGGGCCCACTGTCCACCCTGGGGGGCAGGGGCTGCAGGGTCACTACAGGGCCGCCTTTCCCCCCTCCCTGGCCATTCACCGGGTTCTGTACCTGGAGCTGGAGTCACTGCTGCTCTGCACTGCTGGGTCGTCCGTGACATTAAAGAGCCCCGTCCAATTGGCCAGCTGGTCACCACTCTGCCAACCAAACTGGAGGCCTCTGGCAAGAAAACGAGGCAGTCGGTACTCAAGCGCATGTGTTGGGTTAAGCCTGTCTACCAGAGAGCCACATCCTGTCCTTGTGCCCCGGTGACACACCACCTTGACCATGCACGTAACGGAGATGCTGGTAACGACTCCAATAGAGAGGATGACGTAATGACCCACGGCCCTTTCCCGTGCTGTCTGCTCCCCCACATCCACCCCCCACTTCACCTCCACCAGCAGGGCTGAGATGACACATTTCACAAAGAGGGAAACTGAGGCTTAGCGAGATTAAGGTCACAGAGCTCTTCTAGCTCCTATATGGCACCACCCCCCAATTCCTGCCCCTGGAGACTTAAGCGAGAAGAAGCCCGGCTCACCAGCGCTTTGTCCTGGGAAACCGGACCCACTTTGGAGCTTTCAATGAAATCTAGTTATCCAACGCATAAGGCTACCACTCCTGGCTTGAGATGATGCACCCAACATGCCTGTCTCCACTCCCTCCCCAAACCTCACTAAAATGACAGCAAAGGAATAAACATGGCATGTTGAGGCCGCAGCAACACCATGCTGGACATTGGGAAAAGCAAAGCAGAGATGGGTAGAGGCCAGTGCCGGTGGCAGCCTGACCACCTACCTATAAGAACCTGATCTACTCGCCGTGGTCAACTCAAGAAGGCTCAGAATGGAAGGTCCCCAGGGCACCAGAGGTGGGAGTGCAAATGGAGCTAGGAGCAGCAGAGTGTTCTAAGTCAGTACAAGGAGCAGTCAGACAACTCAGCCCTACCTCCTTCCCCACTCTCACGCCGGATGCCCTTCCTGAGCCCAAGCGGTTTGGTCACTCCACCTGCCCGTCCCACAGGTGGCAGGAGGTTTGCTCTCTGGGGAAGCTGAGCCACAGAAGACCTGCTCTGTTTTCCTCGTGTACGGAGACTCTAAACTGAAAGCGGCCAGGTGTGCCTGAAGCCTGCTCACCGGCTGCACCTGGCTGCAGACGCGGGGCTGCCCACCCTGCCCTACCCGTGTGACCAAGGGTGGGTTTTCCAGGGGGGAAACTGATCCCAGCTCGACAGAAACAGATGCGGAGGAAAGGGCTGGTGCCCACCTGCCCACCGGGGACAGGTTTTCTCAACCTGACACTCTGGGCCTCCGGGGCTGGACAGGTCTTTGCTGTGGGACTGTCCTGTGCGCCGTAGGATGTTGAGCAACGCTCCTGGTCGCCACCACAAAATGCCAGCAGCGCCTCACCCCGGACTCTCCTGCTGTGCTGATCAAAAACGTCCCCAGACGTTGTCAAATGTCCCCTGGGGGCAAACCCGCCCTGGTTGAGAGCTATGGTCTGTAACAACAATGCACAGAACTTCCCAGGAACCTTCTAGTGACTGGCTGGCCCCTAAATGTGAAAGGGCTACCAGAGACCACTGACATTCGAAGAAAGCACTTTAACTTGAAGGTCAGAGAACAAAACAAGCCAATAATAAAAAGTCACTCAAGGGAAAAGAAACAAGCAGGGGAAAAAAAAATGTAATAAAACCCTCAATAACAAACAGCCCCCAGGCACAGAGGACGGGCCGGCAGAGGGCTGCCCGAGCTGGGAGCCGATCCACCAGCATCCCCCCTTCCCTGGGCCTCCGTTCCCATCCTTCCAGTGAGGAGTCTTGTCTCAGATGTCTCCAGAGTCCTTGACCGAAAGTGTCACCGAGCTGAGCCATCTCCTCCAATGCCCCCAACTCCCTCCTCACAAGTCCAGCTCGTCTCCTGCATGAAAGTTAGCTTCTTGCAGCCAGGCTCTGGGCTGAGGAGGCCCCTGACTGCAGAGAGCTGCACACATGAGGTGCTCAATGGATGCTCTGCTGGGTGACTGCTGATTCCCTCCTCACACTCTCCAGCCTCCATGGCACAGGGGAGCTCGGCCTAGCAGGGGAACAGCAACAACTCGCAGGGCAGAGCCTGAAGCCAAAGCAAAAGGCCTGTGCAGTGCTTCGTCCCTTCAGAACACAGCAGCACTCCACTTTTGCTCTAATTTAGTAGCTATTTATTTATTTATTTATTTCAGACACATGGTTTCACTCTCTCGCCTGGGCTGGAGCGCAGCGGCATCATCATAATTCACAGCAGCCTCAAACTCCTGGGCTCAAGCAATCCTCCTGCCTCAGCCTCCCAAGTAGCTGGGACTACAGGCATGCGCCACCATGCCCGGCTAATTTTTTTTCTATTTTTTGTGGGTTTTTTTTTTTGAGACAGAGTCTCACTTTGTTGCCCAGGCTAGAGTGAGTGCCGTGGCGTCAGCCTGGCTCACAGCAACCTCAATCTCCTAGGCTCAGCGATCCTACTGCCTCAGCCTCCCGAGTAGCTGGGACCACAGGCACGCGCCACCATGCCCGGCTAATTTTTTTTGTATATATATTTTTAGTTGGTCAATTAATTTCTTTCTATATTTTGGTAGAGATGGGGTCTTGCTCAGGCTGGTTTTGAACTCCTGACCTCGAGCAATCCGCCCACCTCGGCCTCCCAGAGTGCTAGGATTACAGGCGTGAGCCACCGCCCCGGCCCTTTTTTTTCTATTTTTATTAGAGAAGGGATCTCGCTCTTGTTCAGGCTGGTCTCGAATTCCTGACCTCAAGCGATCCTCCTGTCTTGGCCTCTATTTTATTTGAAAAGAAGAAAAAGATTTGAAATACATATGGCAAAATGCTAACATTCATTAACATTGTTCATTCTCAATCCTGACGATATGTATGTCAGTTATACTGTTCTCCATCTTCTTTTGCATTCCATCTTTTCATAATAAAAGTAAATGTTGAAATAATTTTTTAAAATTGAGTGCTCAGCTGTGCTAAACCAGTAATCACTAACAAGGTGTTGGAGTAGCCAAGCGCAGCTTCCTGGACTCGGTCAGCCTTGCAGATTAAGCTAACACAGAACACTGTCTTGAACCTAAGCAACCCTAACATATAAAGATTTATGTAAACCGGTTTATTCAAGACTGGATTCGGATGTGCAGAGGCCCCAAGCCCTGAAAAGTGTAGGGTGCCGCCTCACACCCACACTTCCTCAAAAGCCACGTGCCTGTGAAGATTTAAATAGCTCTGTCTGGATTTTCTGACTAAGAACTTGGGATAAGTTCATGGAGGCTCAGCTTTTTCTGTTGTGGTTATTGTTGACAACCTGGCTCAGCCAGGTCCCCTGTTGTGTAATCCACAGCTGTGTCATTTCACCTTGCTCACCAAGCAGTGAACCCCACAACCGTCTGAGGGTGCCGAAAGCTGCCTGGGCTTCCCAGAGCCAACTAGCAGGGGAATTTCAGGGCAAAAGGCAAAATCACATCTCAAGGGAAGCAATTTTTTTTTTTTTTTTTTGAGACAGAGTCTCACTTTGTTGTCCAGGCTAGAGTGAGTGCCGTGGCGTCAGCCTAGCTCACAGCAACCTCAAACTCCTGGGCTCAAGCGATCCTCCTGCCTCAGCCTCCCGAGTAGCTGGGACTACAGGCATGCGCCACCATGCCCGGCTAATTTTTTATATATATATCAGTTGGCCAATTAATTTCTTTCTATTTATAGTAGAGACGGGGTCTCGCTCTTGCTCAGGCTGGTTTTGAACTCCTGACCTTGAGCAATCCGCCCGCCTCGGCCTCCCAAGAGCTAGGATTACAGGCGTGAGCCACAGCGCCCGGCCTCAAGGGAAGCAATTTAAAAACAGGTGGAGGGCCGGGCGCTGTGGCTCACGCCTGTAATCCTAGCTCTTGGGAGGCCGAGGCGGGCGGATTGCTCAAGGTCAGGAGTTCAAAACCAGCCTGAGCGAGACCCCGTCTCTACTATAAATAGAAAGAAATTAATTGGCCAACTGATATATATATAAAAAAAAAAATTAGCCGGGCATGGTGGCGCATGCCTGTAGTCCCAGCTACTCGGGAGGCTGAGGCAGAAGGATCACTCGAGCCCAGGAGTTTGAGGTTGCTGTGAGCTAGGCTGACGCCACGGCACTCACTCTAGCCTGGGCAACAAAGCGAGACTCTGTCTCAAAAAAAAAAAAAGAAAAAAAAATAAAAACAGGTGGAGTTGCCCATTACAGTGGAATTTTACCTCCATGAATAATACACTCCAAAAATTGAGGCATTATCTTACAAAAATGTATGCCAGAGGATTAAAAAAACATATGTTGCAAGCACCATGATAGCTTTATAGGTTATTTCAAATCTTCCCAAAAGCTTGGAGGTCGGTATAACTACACCCATTTCATAGATGAGGACACTGAAGTCCAGGGAGATTAGATTTACAACCTGCCCAGATATTTCGCAGAGCAGAGAATCTATTCAAGACAGAGTCCTACTCCAGGGATTGCGTTTCTTCCTTTTCTCCTTTAACTCCATGTTTTCCATGCTCTTTGGGGAGGAAAAAGACTTTTCCATTATTCCAATATTTTAATATTGTTACAGCTGCTGCTGTCTTTATATGAAACAGCTATATTGTTTCATATAAAAAACAAAGAAGTCTTCATATGAAACAAACCACAGAGTACGTATCATAAAGTGGAGACGCTGAACTAAATCGCCCCTGAGATCCTCTCCCATTTTGACTGAAGACCGGAAGTCACAAGATTTCTAACATGGCGCTTCTGGCACTGGAGGCCGGTGGCGGCAATTTTGCGGGGCACACAATGGGAGAAGGAAATGGCGGGTCCGAAGTGCTCGGCTCACAGCGTGTGGGCGCCCGCACAATCTGCCTTCACATATGGTGGGCACACACGGCGGGCCTGGCGCCAAGCACCCGCGAGTGGCCACTCGGAGATCCACTCAAAAAAGGCTGAACCTGTGAGGCCCAGGACACTGGGCACTGCGGACACTCGGGTTCCCCACCCTTGATGCGGGAGCCCAGGACCCCGCGTGCTGAGTGCTCAGCCCAGCAGAGTACGGCTTATAGCCCAGGTCACCAAAAGGCTGGCCAGGTGCCTCAAG